AAATTTGATACTAATTCACTAAACTTGCTATTTTAATGTTTATTGATATATTGACAACAAATTAAAATCAGTTAAATCTAACCGGTATTTTTTTATTTATTGATGTTTTAGTACCTAGTTAGATCGAAATTTTTTCACTATAACCAAAAATGTTGAATATCTCAGAAACTAGCCACTTTCAGAATTGGGACCTCAGGGCTACTTTTAGGTAGGGAAGGTAGGTAGAGAAATTAGTTGTATGATCACCTCCCGAGAGGAATACGTCGAGATACAATTACAAGTCACCTGTACAAAGCTGAAGAGTTTATCTGTTTATTTAAATGCGTTAATCTCTGGATATACCAGATCGATTTGAAAAATTCTTTTTGAATTGGGTGTGTTGTGTTCCATTTTGTCAAAGAAGACTATATGTTATAAAACATCACACTACGACCACGGTGCATCACGGGAGTACCAAGTTCATTATATTCGCATATATTTTGTCCCGTTTTGTCTGAAACGTTAATAATATTAAAACTAAACAAAGCTCAGAAAAACAGGTAAAATTATAAGGTAAATGCGACTGCCAAGTAATATTTTGATTTTTAAGTATTAAAACGAAATTGATACTCTATACCTCTGTAAAGTCGCGGAGAACCTAACGGGTAACCGGGGCTCCGGCTCGACGTGCAGGAGAAGGAACGGGGTGGTTTTTAGTCAGTAAGAGTCTGACACTCCCTTCCGCCTCACCCAGGCGGGAGTAGTCATTCGATGATTTTCCCCCCTTAAAAAAAAAAAATACCTCTTTAAATGTCGCGGAAAACCTAACGGGTTGCCGGGGCTCCAGCTCGAAGCGCAGGAGAAGGAATGGGGTGGTTTTTAGTCAGTAAGAGTCGACACTCCCTCCCGCCTCACCCAGGTGGGAGAAGCCATTCGATGATTTCCCCCCGTGTAAAAAACCTCTGTAAATACTGTCTGTTTTGTTTGCATTATGTTTGATATTAGGCTCTGCTCATGGCATGGGACTTATAAACAAGTACCTATATCGAAAGTGAATGACACACTTAATTTTATGACACACATCTCCCTGCCTACTCTTTCAGAGGAAAAACGGCAAGATATATTTATATTCTTATACCATGTTTATTATTCATTAAAATAGAATCCTGCAAATATTATCTGCGGTCTAATAATAAATATTGTCATTGGGAATTTCTATATTATTATTTGCATTATATATATATATGTACATATATATTAGTCCTTTTTACCGATTTCGGTAACGGCGACTCATAATAGCTATCTCCTATAGTGTACCCTAATGTGGCTGGTTGGACTGAAAACTAAATAATTTATTTGCATTATTACGACCATAAATAAATTACTTATGTATAAACAATTTCTATATTATATATAATTAATATATTATGCTTATTACTGAAATACAAAATAACTAAACCACTATTGCGGTTTCATAATAAGATTTTAAATATTAATTATATACTTATTATATATAACGCAGCTACATGTAAGTAAGTAGAATTTATTTCTGTAAGTTATTTTAAGTTTGATGACCAAGCAAGGCGATTTAGGTTTGATTTCTGGGTCGGTAACAGTAGAATCCGTATTTACATTATCTATAAAATTCATATCGTTTTAATTCAACCAATTTATAAACATTACAGTTTTTATTTAAATATCATAATTTATATAACTACATAAATATTTACAACTTAAAATTATTCATAGATCTTCGAAAAAAGTTATTGAATAAAATGAATTCTTCAACTACATATCTTTGCTTATATGAAGTGAAACAACGCTTGCGTTGTGTGTCGTCGTGTGAGTGAGGTTACCGGTGGCCCAATTACCCCCTTCCTCAGTCCCCCCAATCCCTGAATCCCCCAAAATCCCCTAATTTTGAATTCCCAAACGGCCGGTAATGCACTTGTAACGTCTCTCGTCTCAGGTTTCCATGGGCGACACCGATTGCTTACCATCATGTGATCAGTCTGCTCGATAACTGGCTTACCCCATTAAAATATTGACATAAATCAATTTACCAGGACGATTACCTTTTTAACCCTTTGAGTACCGTCATTATAGACACAATTAAAGAACAATAGGTTGCGGTCACCGGTGTCCTCGCGGTGTTTGATAGTTTAAGCCGTACCTACCTAAAGTATAATAAGAAATCCTACACATTTTAACAATGACCATCAAAATAAACCTCTCAACCATGTTATAAGGTAATTATTTACATAAGTACATCATAAAACACATAATGACGAGTGAAAGGATAGGAATGGCACGAATGGCATAAATGGCATCACTGGCATAACTGGCACTTTAGTATGTTGCTACTTTCCGCCAATTATGTTGTTAGTTCCACCTAATAGCGGTGTAAAGAGCTTACCTCCGGTTAAACAGACACGTGTTCTCTTATATGACTGCCTCGTTAGTTGAGGTTCGATTTCCAGAAGGGACAAATACATAACTAGTGTCATAACAGTAGTTATGTGTTACATAAACATAATATCACGCCTTTTATCCTCGAAGGGGTAGGCAGAGGTGCACATTACGGCACTGAATGACACTGTGCAATGTAACACCCACTTTTCACTATTTATGTTATGAGTCCCATGTAATAGGGGGTGAGCCTATTGCCATATACCGGGCACATTTATTAGACTCCGTGCTACTACTGAGGTTTCTACAAACCCAGTAATACTTTGCCCGACGCGGGAATCGAACCCGAGACCCCTTGCCCGGCAGTCGCACTTGCGACCACTCGGCCAATGAGGCAGCAGCTAGTTATGTGTTTGTAGGCACTAAACCCTAGGTTTCGTCTTTTCATAAATTCTGACGGACCGTGAAGGAGGACACTACGAGACGTATAAACGCATTCGAGATGTGGTGTTACCGTCGTATCCGAATCAGCTGGACACAAAGGGTCAGCAACGAATCCGTGCTACAGCGCGTCCAAATGACCCGGAAAATTATGCTGACTATCAAAAAGCGAAAAATGGAATATCTCGGTCACGTGCTTAGACACGATAGATATTCATTGCTTCAACTGATCATGATGGGCAAAGTAGAGGAGAAGAGACGTGCTGGGCGCAGAAGAAAATCGTGGCTGCGAAACATCCGGGAGTGGACCGGCATTACATCTGTCGAACAATTGTTCCGCATGGCTACCGACAAGGAGAAATACAAGAAGCTGACGGCCGACCTTCAACATTGAAGAGGCACTATAAGAAGAAGAAGAATAAATTCTGAATTCCGTATAACTGCCTCGCAAGTGCGACTTCCGGGCAAGGGGGGTTTCGGGTTCTGAGTCGGGCAAAGTATTACTGGATTTTTTTTAAATCTCAGTAGAAGCACAAAAAGTCTGGAATTGTGTCCGGTATATGGCAATAGGGTCACCCCCTATTACATGAGACTAATAATATAGATATTGAAAAGTGGGTGTTACATTGTGCAGTGCCATTAAGTGGTGTAATGGGCACCTCTGTCGACCCCTTCAGAGTTAAACGGCCTGATGTTATGTTATGTGAATTCCGTATAACTGGGATCAATTTTTATTGATCCCACGCTTCGGTACTGAGGAGTTCCACAGAAACCGATATATGTATGTGCATTGTGCATCATTGCATTCGATGCGGTGAATGCCAGCAGATTATAGTAATAACACTAGTTACTTATCTGAGTAGTAAGTATCTATTTTTAGATAAAGAAAAATTATCGAGGTATTTGTACTAACTACGGTATCGATAAGTAGTGTTTTAAAATTCGTTTAAAAATCATCTTAACAGTAATGAAAGTGACCAGAACCGAAATAAACAATGCCTCAAAGATGAAACGGTCCTAGAATAGATGCGTAATTTTTATTTTGAGTAGATTATTTTAAATCATTAGACACGTATTTTTTATTTTCTTACAGAAACGAATAGTTTCGGCTATATATTGATTTGAAATGTCGTGTGACGTCACTTCTATGTACATTATATATTTTATAAGTAGAAATGACGTTTTAGCCCCCCTTCTAAACTTTGATTCGTTTTATCTAAGTATTGTTTTATTATACGACAAAATAAAAAAATACGTGTCTAATATTTTTTCATTACCTTACTTACGGACTAATTATATTTTTAATTTTCATACCCTGTCATCATCCCAATTATTACTTGGATGACCTATATAAAGGCAATACAATACACGAAATTAATTGAAAGGAAACAATAATTCTGCTGCAGCAGTTCTATCAAACAATAACGAACGCAATATTAAATCTAATCACAAAACGTCAACTTCCAGGGTTATTGCAAAAGTTTCCAGAGGGCCCTTTGGAAAACAAGTTCAGAGTTACAATTACAAACTAGAGGAATGCAGTATACATCTATTCTAACTGTATAACAGCGGGCTAATTCAATTTCGGTAACTTCAACTAAACACTTGGTTGGAGATCAAGAAAGCTTTGATCCAACGAGTGGTTAACTAGCAAGATATTTTGATCCTTGTTTCCATTGTACGGTTACTGTAATTGCTCGAGTTATTTATCTGTCATTAACAAGTTGTATGTAGGTACTTTCAAAGTTTGTTTAGATACTGACATTGGCAAAACATTCATGTAGTTTTGGTGATAGCATTAAGATTGGAATTGTGCCCAGCTTTTAGACTGACTCCATATTGCAATAAGACTTTCAACACTACTCATTTAAATTATACTCTCATCGCCCTAACAATATTCAATTTAAACTAGCAACGAACAATAATAATGAAAACGACCTTCAAAAAAGATAATAATATCTTATCCAAGAACTATTTATAAAACTTGATTGTACTACTTGATTACTAGTTTATAAAACAAGTCATGTGTCGTGTGATGACGTGCAAAACCTACGTGCCTTTTTACGCATGTTTGTAGTCTGACATCCGAACTATACGTTAGCATATACTACGATCACTTATCCAATATTAAAATACAGTCGCGACTTTAAGAATTCACAAAAAAGGGAACAATGAGTTTCGAGAACAAAGTAATTATAGTTACGGGCAGCAGTTCTGGCATAGGAGCAGCCACGGCGATTAAATTTTCGAAACAGCGAGCGAGAATAACAATAGTCGGCAGAAATGAGCAGAAACTTAAGAACGTTTCGGAAACCTGCGAACGAAATGGTAGTAAACCGTTAATGATCATCGCCGATGTAACTAAAGAAGAAGATATGAAAAGGATTGTTAGTGAAACAATTGAGCAATATGGAAAGTTGGACGTGTTAGTGAATAATGCAGGAATGTTCGATTCAGTGAGTATTCTTGACCCACATGCAATAGAAAAGTTTGATCAAATATTGGCGACAAATCTTCGGTCGTGTGTGTATTTAACCCACCTCGCTGCTCCACATCTTATTGAAAGTAAAGGTAATATAGTAAATATTGGTAGCGCTGGAGCAAAGGGAATATTCATGCCGGAAAATTTTGCTTATTGCTCTTCAAAGGCTGGTTTAGAACATTTCACGAGGTGTGTTGCTTTAGAACTTGCGTCAAAGGGCGTTCGTGTAAACTGTGTCAGTCCTGGGCCAGTAAAAACAGATTTCGTTGAGAAGATTACAATGGACAAAGAGGAACAAGACAAATTTTGGGCGAGTTTGAATAAAACTACAGCACTTGGTAAAATTGCGGAGTCTGAAGAGATTGCAGATCTTGTATTGTTTTTGGCTAGTGACAGTGCGAAGAGTGTAACTGGATCATCGTTTCCCATAGATTGTGGTATTTTGTTGAAATAAAATGTTAATATCAAGATTATTTGTAATTTATACGAACATAATTATTTGTAAGTTGATTTGGGAATAAACTATGAAGGCTTTGAGGTGTACCTAATTGAGTTGTGTACTAATTCCAAAACATTCTGGTATCACGGATGTTTTCCCAGGTGGCATAAGTATCATTAGTTGTGTTACAATTCCAATGAAACAAGACTACGAGAGAACCAATTTAGATATCCATACAAAGGTAACAAGGCTATGAGCTACGAGTATAATTGGATGAGATGGAAAGACAATTAGCGAATTTACTAGATTGTTAGTTGTCAGAATAGACAAAAATATTTGTAAATAAAGTCTGAATTTGTGGATGGACATGTGAACATACCTATTACATTCTAACTTTCAGTTACCATTGAAAAAAGATATGAAATCACTAACATCTTATTTGTTAGAGTAAAACATACAGTGTTTATTTTTACTAATGATATAATAGGCCGAAAACGATAGATAAAACACAGAGTGTTGTGTTTACATCTTATAGGAAAACATGGAAAAATAAACGTTTCATTGGCCCTACATAAACGTTTAATATAAAATAATTTTGGTACAGGCCACACGCCTGTATTTGAATACTGCGAAAATACCGTTTTAAAACATTACGCGACAACTGACGGCCATGCTGTGAACGTACCAATGTACGAGTGCTCTATTAACCTAGTTTCGAAGATTCAGTATTATTTGAAAATAAGAGGTTTTTAATTTTTTGCTCTCGCTGGTCTTGCAGATATGGTTGATATGGGATCTGGATTATTTGTGGAGGGCTTTATTTCATTCTTACCTATATGTAGTCTGTAATATCATTTGATGAATATAAGGCGACAGGTTGAATATCGTAAGTTTTGCCATTTATTAAATTAAAATTTTTTACTCTCGCTGATCTTGCAGATATGGGATCAGGATTATCTGTGGAGTGCTTTAAATCATTCTTACCTATATGTACTCTGTAATATTATTTGATAAGGTGAGATAAAGTGACAGATCTAAACAACAAACATTGTTGGTTTTGTAATTTTTTTTTATTCTATTAGGTTCTCTCTATTCTAGATTATATTCTATTAGCCTTATGTTTGGTTTTAAGCTCATACTTATTGCAATCCAACTAATAACTAAAACAATTGTTTTAAATGTGAAATATCACATTTCATATTCGCAACAACATGTCCCCATATGGTTCAAAGCTGGACGATGTCCAGGTTTTTTGTTGGTACTCACAATTTTAATACCGATAGGTATTGTGTAATACGCTCAGTTACTTTTTTACCCAATCAGGCAATCAGATATTTTTTTATGAATCGTATTTGATTTAAACTGCCTCATTGGCCGAGTGGTCGTAAGTGCGATTGTCGGGCAAGGGGTCTCGGCTTCGATTCCCGGGTCGGCAAAGTATTACTGATTAACGCAGTTCTTACTTATTACACGTTTACATAATATATAGATCCATCAGTACCTCGTTATGATATTAAATTAACACAGAAGCACCCAACGAGATGCAGTACAGATAGATGTGTTATTAATACCATCCCATGTTTCAGTCCCTACATATTCATGATGTTCTTATGTTCTTTTGATCGCGTTGTAACTCCTCACTCCCCACTTCTGGTCCCCTCTCCCTGTTATCATATTCCCATCTATGTTTCTTTAGGTACAATATCCCTTCGTTTTCATTTAACATACGCGAGTCAACGGAGCGAAACTTTTCTAATTTTTTTTTTCAATATTCATTTTTTTTATGTGTATTGATTTTCGGTGTATCACTTTGTAAAGAGGTTTTTTAAAATGTGAGGTTTAATTATAAGCTACCCCTCTCATATGCATATCATCATCGACATCCATACAACTAATGGGCATGCCGTACGCGTATAATCTGCAGTAATTTTTTGGTTTGAAAAGAGTGAGAGAGATGACCTATGCTTTCGGTCTAGCGCTATCTCTTTCTCGCTCATAACGTCTTAAACTGTCAAACACCGCGAGGACACTGGTGACCGCAACCTATTGTTCTTTAATTGTGTCTATAAGGACGGTACTCAAAGGGTTAACTACGGTACTATTTTGAGAGAGATAAAGGTAGACAGAAACTTCGTTTCCTCTCTTTCTTTCGGAGTGCCACAATTCTCATTTCTAAGGCATGCCTATTAGTATATGTCGATGCAAATCACATGCCGTTAATTAGATTTATTTTGTCTATCTTGAAATTTATTCAATGCTTGAAGAATGTGGTTTTCATTTTGTAGTCTAAACAAGTAGTCAAATCTCATTGTTAGTCTGAAAATGTATCAAACGATACTGAGAAAGGGTTGTATCACAACTTATAATTCATAAACATAACATCACGCCTTTTATCCCGGTCGGGGTAGGCAGAGGTGCACATTATGCCACTGTATAATGTAACACCCACTTTTCAGGGGTGAGCCTATTGCCATATACCGGGCACAATTCCAGACTCCGTGCTACTACTGAGATTTTTTTTAAAAACCTAGTAATACTTTGCCCTACCTGGGAATCGAACCTGAGACCCCTTGCCCGGCAGTCGCACTTGCGACCACTCGGCCAACGAGTAACTCGAAGTTAACTTATAATAGTGGAAGTAATTTCGCATAAGATGGCATCGCATTACAAAATCTGTTCAAGAATCAGTCATCCTTAATTGGAATAATGCCAAAAGAAAGTATTATAACGACAATTCTAAATCCCATAAGTAAGAAAATCAGAAACAACTTGAACGGATCATAGTCATAACTTTTCCTTTACGATATCTTTGCTTGCTCAAGGGTTAACCATTACAAAGATAAGATTACTCCCTATAACTTAAGGCGAAAACTTTACCCTTTACGATGGGAAACATATATATGCGAGTACATCACTCCATTTATAGAGCTGAAATAAAAATGAGGTGGTATATAAACGGCAATGCATCGCGTTGTTTGAGACAGGAAGATTAACCGCTGTTCATCCGTGAAATTGCTATATTCGACAAAAGTTTCGTCCGAAGTTCGACTCAATTCTATGCTTGAGCTGTTGCAGTGATTAGATAGATAGATTTTAATCGTGTTTAAAATTATTTGTTATGGTTATTACTGAAAAATAGTTTGATGAAAAGAAAATATAATAATTAGTAAGATACCATCAGTATCAGCATCATCAACAGCATAAAGGTGGCTACTACTAAGCCAACGTCTGCCTCGTTGGCCGAGTGGTTCCAAATGCGACTGCCGGGCAAGGGGTCTCGGGTTCGATTCCCGGGACGGGCTTAATATAACTTTTTTTAATTCTCAGTAGTAGCACGGAGTCTCGAATTGTGCCCGGTATATAGCAATAAGCGTAACCCCTATTACATGGGACTCATAACATAAAATTAAATAGTGAAAAGTGGGTGTTACATTGTACAGTGGCGTTAAGTGCCGTAATGTGTAAATGTCAATGTGAACGTAAATGGATAGAAAAGCGTGATGTTATCTACAAGTTACTACATTTGAGCAAGTGTGGTTGCACAAATCTGTTCATAATATAACACAACGAAAACTGACTGCAATCACCTGCTAGTTGTTCATACTACAAAGTACTGGTGATACAACCTACTTCTTTAAAATAAACACGTGACCAAATGTTTCTATGACCTGGAAACTACAAAACACAGTTTGCTTCACAGAGCACTTCGGTTGATGCAATTTTCAAAATGTTTTCCAGAGTCTCGCTTTTTCTTATCTCAGATCAAGCCATTGTTGGACTTTCTAAAAGTTCAATGCAACACTTGCAATTACTTTCCCTCTCATCCTTTATCCGATGTTCTTTAGTTTCAAACTCTTTTACACTTTTTTGTATTATGTTTAGTAAACTAAATAGTTTTGTTGCGTATTTTTCTACGGTTCCAACATAGGTGGCTAATATCTGTTCTGGTGGGAAGGTAAAATTATTTTTTTTATAACATCACGCCTTTTATCCCCGAAAGGGTACTTTTCACTATTTATGTTATGGGTCCCATGTAATAGGGGGTGAGCCTATTGCCATATTCCGGGCACAATTCCAGACTCCGTGCTACAAAACCTAACTAGTAATACTTTGCCCGACCCGGGAATCGAAGCCGAGACCCCTTGCCCAGCAGTCGCACTTGCGACCACTCGGCCAACGAGGCAGTCATGTCATACAACTAGGGGTATTTTATATTAACTGCATCAACTCAACATGGACTAACAACCTAGGTACAATTACGTCTCCCTAAACACCATGATTAAAGAAAAACGCTTTCTCCAGTCCTTAAAAACTTTACGTTTAAGAATGTTTCGCTTAATTGAATTTTCCGGGAACACGGTACTTATATAGAGCTGAAGCTGCACAATTTAAGAGTGTACAATAAATAAATTGACCGGAAAAAAACGGTGATTAAATTGAATTGCTTTTTCGTGCTTTTGTATTGTAAAAGGCCTGATAATACAATGTACCGGTTTTCCTCTGAAACACTGAACTTCTGATGCATTGTTTACTGTTTTTTTTCCCGGAATTAATTTATGGCTCGTTGATTCAGCATTATTTGCTAGTAGCTGTTGCTGCGACTTCGTCCGCGTAGAGTATGAATTGTAGGACACAACTTTCTTTTTGTTTTTAATTTCCAAAATAAAAGTAGCCTGTTACTTCCAAGTATATCAGCTACTTGCCAGTACAAGTCCCGTCAAGGTCGGTCCAACCATTTCAGAGGTAGGCCTGTATAAACAGAAACAGACAGATAGACAAAAATTTTAAAAATTGTTTGGTGTATGGGACCACATGGTAACACATGGGACCTCATAACATAAATAGTGAAAAGTGGGTGTTACATTGTATAGTAGCATAAAGTGCCGTAATGTGCACCTCTGCCTACCCTACGAGGATGAAAGTCGTGATATATGTTGTATGACAAAATGTAGGCAGTATCAATCTCTATCGTGAGACATACTAAATTAACTAAAAATCGCTGGTTACTCACGTGA